TCTCAGAAAAGAGTTGACTAGCTCTGGAATTTGCCACAATAAATAAGTTTTTTTCCCTTACATATAACTAATTCATATAAAAGTCTTTTCTGGGTAGTACTGATTATTTTTTTAAAAAAGATTTTATTTATTTATTTATTTATTTATACATGCACTGGGTACAGTCAGAAGCGCGGGAGGGTGAGAGAATTCACCAGAGCGGGGAGCAGAACAGGCAGACTGACGGAATACACTGCTGAGGGGGGCAGCGGGCATCAGGAGAGGTCTGCACGCCATGTGGGACCCTCACCCAGTGGCCGGGGATCGAACCGGCGCTGCAGAGGCTGCAGGCAGCTTCGCAACCCAGCGCTCAACCGCTGCGCCACTGGGGAGGCCCAGGGTAGTACTGATTTTAACCCACTATCAACTGTCAATATTTATTTTTGACATAATGATGTAAATTGTCTTAAATATCATGGCTTATGAATACTCCCCAGTTATAACGTAAAGAGAGCTTGTGTTCAGTTTTAAAATGTGGCAGAGTGGGCCTCCCGGTGGCACAGCGGGTTGAGCACAGTGCTGTGAAGCTGTCCGCAGCACGGGTTCCATTCCCAGCTGGCCAAGGAGAAACCCACATGGCTTGGCAGACTTCTCCTGCCTCTCCCGCTGCTCCCCTCAGCAGTGTATTTCATCAGTTTGCCTGTTCTGTTCCCCGCTCTGTCTCTGGTGAATCTGCTCATCCTCCACACCTCTGGCCTGTACCCCAGTCTTGTATGCATAAATAAATCTTAAAAAAAACAAAATAAAAGGTGGCAGAGCAGTCATTTCCTTTAACTCACTTTTATTTGCATTTCGGTAACCTAGCTAAAGGGTACATTGGGGATTTTGTTCAGAGTGGAAATTTCTATTGTGGTAGTAGGTTAAAAGCTTTGGACTTAGAGCCAAGAACTGAACTTAAAAAATGTCAAATCTTAAAACAAAAGGAAGGTAGGTTTTTTTTTTAAGATTATTTATTTATTTATACAAGCACTGGGTACAGTCAGAAGCGCGGGAGGGTGAGAGAATTCACCAGAGCAGGGAACAGAACAGGCAGACTGACGAAATACTTTGCTGAGGGGAGCAGCGGGAGCAGCAGGAGGGGTCTGTGCGCATGTGGGACCCTTGCCAGCCGACCAGGGATCAAACTGGCACTGCGGAGGCTGTGGGCAGCTTCGCAGCCCAGGGCTTAACAGCTGCGCCACTGGGGAGGCCTGGAAGGTAGTTTATAAGAGAGTTTATTCTTTTATTATACTACCTGAACCAAAAAGACAGAGGAAGAAAAAATTGCAGAGCCATCCCCTTGGCAAGAGTAAGAATTTTCCACTACCACTTGCCCTGAGGGCATGGATGTGCCTGTCAGGGAACTGTTACTGGAGTAGTGCTGCCGGCTCCTCGTGTACCAGGCCCTGTCTGAGACACAGGAGCCTGCAAAGGAAGGAAAATCCTATTTCAGTAGGAAAAGTGTTTGTCAAGTATTTTCCTGGCTCTTTTACTTCTTCAGAGAACCTGCTTTTTAGTAGTCAATCGTAAACTGATTTACCAGCAACACGAAGCAAAAGTCACCCTGCCAGTTAGGATGTCTTTACTTCATTGCGCTTCCTCCATTGCGCTTCCTCCGGCAAAACTTGTTTTGTTTTTTTTGTTTTTTTTTAAAGAGTCCGGGAGATGTTTTATTCACTTGAAAATGTATACTGAACGACTGGGTATCGGTAAATCTGTGCAAAAGTTTTTGATGTTTTCCAAATGGAAGAATTTTTTTTTTGTTTGATTTTTTTTTTTTCCCTAGTATACATTTTTTGCATCATTTTTCATTTTTGCACAATGTATGCATTTTCATCTTGGTTAGTTCCCATACAATTCCCACCCCCCCTTGTTTTGATCCTACTCCCGCCTCACTCCCCTGTAGTGTGTCTCTGGTTTATAGTTGCTGACTGTTCTTACTACCGAGCCTCAGTTTCTTGTCTGAAATGAAGACGTGGCCTGGTCAAGATGGAAATAAATGTCTCAGGGTTGTCTTGGCCTACAGCTGTCATACTTAGCACAACTAACAAACCCTCCTCAGGGTAATTGACCCATTTTATTGCTTTTGGCTTTTTCTTGCATTGACCTTTTAGTGTATATGAAGATCTTTTTAAAATAAGGATTCCTGGACCCCACAGCAAATGCATTGAATCACACTCTTTAGGATATTGTATAAGGCTGCACAGTGCATAGTATTGATCCCAACTAATAGCTAATATATTGACTGCTACCCAGCAAAGAAATTTAACCTTGGTATTGATTTCCTCAAATATGTTTCCATTAATTTCAGACCCTCTGAATTTCCACTGAAACACAAAATAAATGTGAAGATGCTACCTTTGCTACCTAATGTAGTTTTTCCTCAATCTGAGTATTAGATTTGCTGGCCTTAAACGTGGCAGGCATGTGAGAGCATGAGGGTAGAGTTCATATATGAACTATTTATTTATTTATGCATTTTTAAAAAGATTTATTTATTTGTTTGTTTGTTTGTTTGTTTATTTATACAAGCACTGGGTACAGTCAGAAGCACGGGAGGGTGAGAGAATTCACCAGAGCCAGAGCAGGGACCAGAGCAGGCAGAAGGACTGAAGTACACTGCTGAGGGGAGCAGCGGCGGCAGGAGAGGTCTGCGCACCATGTGGGACCCTCACCCGGTGGCCGGGGAGCAGCTGGGGATCCAACTGGCACTGCCGAGGCTGCGGGCAGCTTCGCAACCCAGCGTTCAACCGCTGCGCCACTGGGGAGGCCCCATATATGAACTATTTAAATAGAAGACACAACTGTCAGTGTACATGAAATGTTCTATTCTTAGGTTGCTGATGTATGTTCTCTGTTATGTTGCAGAATTGTGATAATGCTTGAAGGTTGTGAGTGCCTCTGCCTCAGGTTAGACAGAAGTGTTCTGCTCTGTGGGATTGTGGCATCAGTTGCCTGAGACAGTAGAGGAACTTTTCCCAAGTAAACTTGTCATCGTTGAGCTTGTATTCTTTTCATGTTCCACTGTACACAGGATTGAATTATGACAAACAAATAATAGTTTTTTTTTTTTAAAGTCATTCTTTAATTTTCATATTGGTGAGGCATTTTAGCTGTTGAAGGCCACTAAAATTTAGGATATAGTTACTTTTATTGTGTGAGCAGAATTCTATTAAAAAGAAAGGTTCTAGTTCATTCAGTTTGAATATTGCTGTCCATTGCATAAGCATTTCCAGTAGGAGTTACACCTTTGCTTAATGTGTCCCTGCAGTCAGAAGCAGTGAGGATCTCTGTCTCTGGAGATTATATATTGACAGTCTCGTTCTTTGCTACCCGGTGACTGCATTTCTCTCAGTCTATGGGGTTGTTTCATGAACATAAAGGTTTAAAAAAGCAAAGTCTACTTTCCCTGATTTTAAAAACTCTGAAGAGGGCCTCCCCGGTGGCGCAGCGGTTGAGCGCTGGGTTGCAAAGCTGCCTGCGGCCTCTGCGGCGCCGGTTCGATCCCCAGCTGCTCCCCGGCCACCGGAGGAGGGTCCCACATGGCGCGCAGACCTCTCCTGCCGCCCGCTGCTCCCCTCAGCAGTGTACTTCGGTCCTTCTGCCTGCTCTGTTCTCTGCTCTGGCTCTGGTGAATTCTCTCACCCTCCCGCGCTTCTGACTGTACCCAGTGCATGTATAAACAAAAACAAACAAATAAAGAAAGAAAGAAAGAAAACATGCCTCTATATAAAAAAAAAAAAAAAAAAAAACAAAACTCTGAAGAACAGAAAAATCAGAACTAAAGATTTAACCAACGAAATAAATATTTCTCAGACAGAATGCCTATTTTGCCACTTCATATATAACCAATTCAGTATGGAAAATGAAAATTTGACTTAATACTGTGAGCATTTTAGGAGAGAATGTAGTTATTCTAGTTTTTAGATCACCTTGTATAAGACTTTTGAAATCACCTTAGTTGGCTTTCAGAAATTCAGGAACAGCTGTTGTACATTTTCTTTAAGTGGCCAGTCACTTTGGTGTTGGCACTGGTGTCATGCCTGCTGTGTTTGAGTGCATGTGAAACACTGACTTTAGCTCCCGGGCTTGCGCTGTGGCCTTTACTTCATAAACATCAAGGAAAGGGGCTAAGATGTGGGTGGGTCCTTTCGGTGCTAGTAGAGACAGAGACTCTTTAGCCTAAAAAAAGAGAACTCAGCTGACTTAAGGATCTCCTAGCGGTTATGTAAGAGGTTTTTTCATTTATTTGATAATTCTGATTTCAAAAGGTTCCAAAGGGTACAAGGTGAAAAGTCTCCCTCCGCCTTTTCTATCGGAGTGACCAGCTTGTGGCATCTTTCCTGAGGCATGTCCTTACACCAATAACTCATCTTTCATGTTTCTGTTTAACACAGTGTATCTTAAAGGAAATAGTCACTTGATTGTGAACATAGTTGCCTCATCTTTCTCCAAGTATTTTTTGTAAAAAAAATTTTTTTTACTATTCAGTAACATATACAGAGTTGTCACAAAACCTGGGTGCATGGGCAGTTATTGATACTAAGTGGGCTGCGAATATTACATGGTGTGTTAACTTGTGTTCAGTTTGTCCTTGTTAGCTGTGCACTGACAGTTTAAAGAATTTTCACTGAACTCTGCTCCTGTTGAGTTGTCTCTAGTAATTTTTATCTGATTTTTTTACATTTATTAAAACTAGTTTCTAGACTTTATAGTCACTGTATAAAAATTGCTTTCTGTACTTCTTTGCAAAGTTTGTACATTTTCTCATCTCTTGTTCTTATCAGTTGGGTAATTTTAAAAGTAGTGTCTCGTGTAGTTTTACTTTCCATTGTCTGAGAGAGTAGTTGAGCATTTATTACATATTTGACCTGTATACAGGTTTTCTTTTAGAAAATTGTGTTTATTTGGAGGCAGATTCATCTTTATGCAACATTGTTGCAAACATTGCTTTAGTTGCCTTTTTTTTTCTCCCCAATTAGTTGGTGACAAAGTTCCTGCTGATATAAGATTAACTTCCATCAAATCCACTACTCTAAGAGTTGACCAGTCCATTCTCACAGGTAAATATTGTGTATTGGAAGTGACATTTTGCTTTTGGTCTCAAATCCCATGCTCATGGAGTTAGCTCTTGCCCACTTATTCTTTTCTATCCTGTTAAATCTTAATTGTTACCAAGATACTTATTTCCTTATGCTTTATCAATTTGGGTTTTTTTGTTTGTTTGTTTTTTGGTCAATATGAGGCTTAAAGGAATAATTTAAAAACAAAGCAGATTTGACCATGTCATAAGGTCTTTTAGTTTTATCAAAAATTAGTTTTGATTTAAAAATAATCACCATTGTTTTTAATTTTTAAGAAAGTTACAAATTCCTTCATTAATAGAGGTAGAAATCTTAAGGCCCAAGTGTTAACTTTTGTGGAACGTTAACTAATTTCTTGTTTAGTGTTCTTTTTCCTGGAAAGATAGGCTCCGAACTGTAATTTTTTTTTAATTAGAGAAATGCTAATCTGCTATCTCACACACTTTGCAATAATCCCATGTACAGTTAATAAACATTAGCGCCCCCCAAAATGAAGACTTTTACTAACCTAAGTTGCACACTTAGACTTGGAATTGCTTAGAACAATTTGTTTGATAAAGGCACAGTCTAAGGTGGAGGAATCTTGTTAGCTGGAAGGTAATCAGAAGATAATTTAAGTACAATACTAACCTGAATTAAATAGAGAGTAAATGTAAAACCCAAAGATTATCAAGAGATTTATCTGATTGTCAGTTTTGAAACCCAATTAATGCCATGGAAGTGGTGATGTGAGTGACCTGGGCTCTGTTTTTTGTTTCTTTATTAATAGCTTATCTACTAAAATTCCCATTATCAGCAACAACTTGAAAGCTGATAAAGACTTAAAATGGTGGGGTATTGATTGGGCTGTATGTATGAAATTCTCAGAAGTTGTGCCTACAGAAGTAATTACCATTTTAAAACTTTTCAGTTTCTTGAATTTTTTAAAATAACCATTCTATATAGTTTGAGGCTAGATTGAAGAACCAAATTACTTTGTCAAATATTGAGAGTCAAGTATGTTATGTTACCTGACGTTCAAGTTAACTAGAGCCATATTTCACATCACCCAGATTTATCCTGATTGTGTATTTCACAGGTGGTATTAAGGAAAGTTAAAACCATGTTTAGCAAGATATTGTTAAAAGTTTTAAAAAGTAGTTCTTTCACCATGTGATCTTTATAGTGCAGCTGCTGATCTTAAGGTTTGTTTCATTGAACTAAATCATCTGGCAAGAGTGTACAAGTATTTCTAAAACTGTATTTGTCGTCTTTGAAATACTATACAAAAGTAGGTTTCTTGGCAGATGATTAGTCATATATATAACTACATTTATCCATTAAAAGTAAATATACTGGGCCTCCCCGGTGGCGCAGCGCTTGAGCGTTGGGTTGCGAAGCTGCGCGCGGCCTCTGCGGCGCCGGTTCGATCCCCGGCTGCTCCCCGGCCACCGGAGGAGGGTCCCACATGGCGCGCAGACCTCTCCTGCCGCCCGCTGCTCCCCTCAGCAGTGTACTTCGGTCCTTCTGCCTGCTCTGCTCCCCGCTCTGGCTCTGGTGAATTCTCTCGCCCTCCCGCGCTTCTGACTGTACCCAGTGCATGTATAAACAAAACAAACAAAGAAACCAGCAAACAAATAAATAAAGCATGCCTCTATAAAAAAAAAAAAAAAAAAAAAAAGTAAATATACTTTTTTAAAAGCACTGAAATGTGTGTACATAGATAGACGTGTACAACAAATATATAAAAAACTTGTTCAGATTTTTAAAGTATAAAATGATACCTGAAAATAAATTAAATTTGAATAGTTACTATAGAAAATAAAGGTAATTGGGGTTTTACTTTAGAATTAAGCACATTTATTTATTTATTTATTTATTTTTAAAGTGTGTTGATTTTAATCCTGACAGTCTTTGCTCTGAAATTAGTTCTGTTACTAAATTTTACTAGAGCATCTCTTTTGAATGACTTGGGCCTTATGTCCTTCTTTCCTGAGAGTGGTGGAGGCGTGAGCGAGGATGAGGGTTCCCAGGCTCTGGTGTGGCGCACACAGCTCTAACCATCCCTTCTGTCTCACAACCGTGTAGGTGAATCTGTCTCTGTCATTAAGCACACTGACCCTGTCCCTGACCCACGTGCCGTCAACCAAGATAAGAAGAACATGCTCTTTTCCGTAAGCACTTCATCAAATCTGTTTTGATTTGGAGGCATTCTTAGAGTTGTAAGCCTGCAGCATTGTTGTTTGTTCTTTCGTCAGCAGTCAGATTTCAGAAAGTGTTATATTCCAAAGAATAATTGTACTTTGTGGTCAGTCTCAACTGTCCGAAAATAATAGTAATAGTGGAATGTGTGATCCTACGTATCTTTAGTTTCAATTTGCAAGTTTTTGAGAATTAAGAAAAATCAGGTCATACATTTTAAAACGACCTGTAAAGTGTTGTAGAAAAGGCTTAGCCTATAAAGGCTGTTTTCAAAATGATAATCTCTATATATTTCACGGTAAAATTGAGTGTGTTTAGTAAGAAGGCAGATGTGGCAGATCATTAATAGTTGGTGAGTCTGGTGGAAAGTAAAATGGAGATTCATTGTACTATTTCAGTTTTCCTGTTAACTTTTTTTTTTTTTTTTAATGAAGTTGGGAAATTTGTAGATTTTGCTTGTTTGGAAATTATTTATTAAGATTTATATAAGAGCTGACGTACAGGTCAGAGGCACAGGAGGGTGAGAGGATTCACCAGAGACAGAGCAGGGAACAGAACAGGCAGACTGAAGGCACTGCTGAGGGGAGCAGTGGGCAAGACAGGATAGGTCTGCCGTGCCATGTGGGACTCTCCCTGGCTGGCTGGGAATCGAACCTGCGTTGCAGAGGCTGCAGACAGCGTCACAGCGCTGCGCTTATTAACCCAGTGCGCCACTGGGGAGGCCCTTGTTTGGAACTTAAAGTGGTATTTCAAGTGGTAGGCTTTTGTGAGTTAGCGTGGGAGCTTACCCACCTATAATAAAGTACTCTGTAGAGCAGTTAGTTACAATGAAGAAATGAAGTTTGTGTTGTTGGGACACTAGGACTTAAAGTAGGCTGGGGAGAGAACTCACATTGGTTTCATAGATTTTTGAATGCTTGAGTTGGTCCAAGGTGGCCCATGGATTACTTGCTCTTTTTACGGGTGATGAGAGAGAGAGAGTGTGTGTGTGTGTGTGTGTGTGTGTGTGTGCGCGCGCGCGCGCGCGCGCATGTTGGAGGGGTGTCAATCTGTTGGGGCCAGAGGTAGAGAATGCTTGGGGTTGAGGGCTGCATGGCTTTTGAATTACTGGGAACACGGGTTCTAACACTGCTTCAGCCCCACGCTGGTCTGTGAGTCGGGCTCAAGTGTTGTGAAGAACTCTAGGTGGGTCAGTGTAGAGCTGCTCGGGGCTGAAAATCAGGGAGAGAGGTCCTGTGCTGCCTGTGTAAGGTGTTAATCATCAGAATTGTTGGATTGGGGTTGGTTGCCTAAATAGCAGCCGCAGGAAAGGCTGAGGAGCATGGATGCCCAGTGGAGTCTGTGCTTACTGTCAGAATTGGAGTTGGGTGTCGTGTTACTGTCGTGTTAACCGTTTCTCCCATGTTGTCTTAGGGCACCAACATTGCTGCTGGAAAAGCTATGGGAGTGGTGGTGGCAACGGGAGTTAACACTGAAATTGGCAAGATCCGGGATGAAATGGTGGCGACAGAACAGGAGAGAACACCCCTCCAGCAGAAACTGGATGAGTTTGGGGAACAGCTTTCCAAAGTCATCTCCCTTATTTGCATTGCCGTCTGGATCATAAACATCGGGCATTTCAATGACCCTGTCCACGGAGGCTCCTGGATCAGGGGCGCCATTTACTACTTTAAGATTGCAGTGGCCCTGGCTGTAGCTGCCATTCCTGAAGGCCTGCCTGCTGTCATCACCACCTGCTTGGCTCTCGGAACTCGCAGAATGGCAAAGAAAAATGCCATTGTTCGAAGCCTGCCGTCCGTGGAAACCCTTGGTTGCACTTCTGTTATCTGCTCAGACAAGACGGGTACGCTGACAACGAACCAGATGTCAGTCTGCAGGGTAAGTGGGGGTCATTTCAGAATCTTTCCTGGTAGGTTTATTCATTCTAAGAATATGCCCTTGTCCCTCGGAATCGTTGATTTAAAACTTAATACCTTTTCATGGGCTTAAACAGATTGGGTTGTAAGTGTAGTGTGAGTCGAAGATAATTTCTAATACGGTGAAGGAATTTTTTTTTAAAGATTTGTTTGTTTGTTTGTTGATTTATTTATACAAGCACTGGGTACAGTCAGAAATGCGGGAGGGTGAGAGAATTCACCAGAGCCAGAGGGGGGAACAGAACAGGCAGACTGACCAAATACACCGCTGAGGGGAGCAGCGAGCGCGGCAGAAAAGGTCTGTCACGCCATGTGGGACCCGCCATGTGGGACCCTCGCTGGCAGCTGGGGATCAAACCGGCATTGCAGAGGCTGTAGGCAGCTACCTTCACAGCCCAGCACTCAACCACTGCGCCACCAGGGGAGGCCCTGGTGAAGGAATTAATCATTTAAGTCCTGAAACTATTTCTTGAAATAAAGTCCGGCATGGCTGATGTGACTTGCAGTGGGGAAACAGCTGTAGGCTGACTGAAGTGTGGGGTAACTTTTCCCCCTTTTTCCCTGCTCCCCATCTTGACATGTGCAAATGAACAGTCAAGCTTCAGAGGAGGAATTTGTTCCTTAAGTTCTTTCATATAATTCAGTTTCCTGAGGTTTTATTTAAAACAGCTTTGGGGGGTGGGGTGTCAAAGGATAATTTCCCTAAAGGTGTATGACTCATACAGATCCGAGTGGACACATGTCAAAGATTCTCTTTGGCTCATGAATTAATGAAGGCAGTGGTAAGATGGAAAGACCAGTTACAAAAGCATTTTAAGGATGTGCTCAGTATGAGAACAGAATCACTATATGTGAGATGACAAAGGCTGGTTAATGTCCAGCAGGAGGGTAAAATTGTAGGTTATCTTCTGCAGCCTCACATTGTCTGAAGCCCTTCATTAACAGTAAATAGCACAGGGCAGCGGTGTTGGATTTTCTTGGAACACTAAACCTTTGCTGTTAAGTAATGCTTCCTGCGGCATTGTTAGGACGTGCACGCATCTTCTCAGCCTTACCTCAGCCTAGGTTTTGGATAATGGTTTTAGCGTTGGAAATTGTTTTTGTTTTAATACAGTAAAAACTTATAAATCTTTATTTTTCCAAATGTTAATTTACTATAATTTTTAGATACACATACTCCCAACTCTAACCCAAAGCTAGATTTGGAATGCGTGGACAGGTGTTTTGTCTTTTCAGTGGCTAGTTTGTCTTGGGCTTCACAAATAGATGCACTTGTCGTCTGAGCTGCCTCCCTTCTCATTCCTTGGCGCTTACAAAGGTTGGATGAATCCACGAAAAGTCTAGTTATGAATGGAAAGCTGGTTGTTTGAGAAAAGGAATTTCATGTTACCTGCTGAGTTTCCCTGAGAAAACTGCTTATGAATTCTGTTACATTCTTAGTTTAATGAAATTGTTTTGGTTCTTAAATTTTTCCCTTGTTTGATTTAAAATGTTTTCTTCTGTTAAAGAAACAGCCCGCTTCCTTGTGCTGTTCTACCTCAGTGACAGAAAGCTGATGCTAATCAGTATTCCACAGGAGGTTTCTTGCAGTGGTATTGCATAACTGCCCTTGACTTAGAGATATTTTCATCATGCAGTTCCTAAATGGTTTGCTTGCGTGCTATCTAAAGTGTCCTATTGTGTCAGATTTAGATGTTCTGATTGTCTCAGATTATTTTGTACCCTGGTATAGACCCTAAGATTTTTTCACCTTTTATGAAATGCTGTTAAAGAAATGGAATGGTGTCTACTACCAATAATGTCGACTTGCTTAATGCAGTTCATTTTTCACTTGTGAATTTAGGGAATCCCGTGTAATCCTGCTCAGTGGTAAGTGAGGAAGTGAAAGCCCTGAGACGTTACAGTGACGTGCTGGAGGAATCACACGACTTTTAATAAGAGAGAAGCTTGGATTTTCTTAGTGGTTAAACCTGATCCTGTCTCTCCCGTTTAATGATTGTGTAACATTAAGCACGTCCTTTTTAGCCTCACAGTTCTTTATTCTGTGTAATGTTAGACTCCTTTGGAAAGAACCTTTTGGCAACCTTTCTTTTTAAAAAAAGTTGTATCTGTTAAAAAAAAATTTAGGGGAATCAATGGTCTTGCTGCATTGGGACCATGGACATGACTCTTCCTTGTGTGACACGCCTTTCATCAGGCATAACCACAGTTTTAAATCCCATTATATATTTGTATTTTTTAAAAAGCCCATTTTTTTTTTTTAAGTTACTGTGTCTTACTCCGATTAATTCAGTTCCAAGGTTGCTTTAATTGGTAACTTTTGAAATAAGGCGTTTGGAATTTAGAAGTATTAGCTGCATGATAAGTCTTCTGAGCCCAAGAAGTCATTTTAAAATAAAGAAAAGCTGATGTTTTTACGGAGTATGAGTTGGAATGCTCTGAAAGGGTGTTTTAAAGCATTACAGGACTCTCTTTACTTGAGTTTAACATTCTTAGATTCCCGATTGCAGCAGTTTGGTCATATGCGCTCTCTCTCTCTCTCTCTCTCTCTCTCTCTCTCTCTCTCTGTGTGTGTGTGTTATTTTACTTGGAAACTTTATTTAATTTTAAAGATTTATTTATTTATTTACATAAGCACTGGGGTACAGGCCAGAGGTACGGGAGGGTGAAAGAATTCACCAGAGACAGAGCAAGTTGCAGAACAGGCAGAAGGACTGAAGGGACTGCTGAGAGGTGCAACGGGCAAGGCAGGAGAGGTCTGCCGTGCCATGTGGGTTGCTCCAGGGCCGGCGGCAGGAATCAAACTGGCACTGCAGAGGCTGCGGGCAGCTTCGCAGCCCAGTACTCAACTGCTGCACCATCAGGGGAGGCCCTATTTATTTTTTTAAAGATCTATTTATCCAGACAAGAACCGGGGTACAGGCCAGATTCGCGGGAGGGTGAGAGGATTCACCAGAGACAAAGTGGGGAACAGAACAGGCAGAGTGACGAAATATACTGCTGAGGGGAGCAGCGGGCATGACAGGAGAGGTCTGCCGTGCCATGTGGGACCCTCGCTGACCGGCCAGGATTGAACCGGTGCTGCAGAGGCTGTGGACAGCTTCACAGCACTGCTCTCAACTGCCTGCACCACCAGGGGAGGCCCAAGAAGCTTTTTTAAAAATATTTATGCATACAAGAGCTGGGGTATAGGCCAGATGTGTAAAGGGTGAGAGGATTCACCAGAGACAGTGGGGAACGGAACAGGCGGGTTGACTGAAGTACTCTGCTGAGGGGAGCAGCGGGAGACATGAGAAGTCTGCTGCACCATGTGGGTAGCTCCCTGGCCGGGGATTGAACTCGTGCTGCAGAGACGGCTGATAGCTTCACAGTGCTGTGCTCAGCCCCTTGCACCAGCAGGGAGGCCCTGTTCTAATTTTTTTAAAGAAGGTTTTTACAGTTTCAATTTGCAATGAAAACACATACCAAATTTTAAGACTTCCACGCTAGGTTTCTGAATTACAGTTGGAAAGCAAACCAAGGAAAAAACCCTCATCTTTAAGAAGCTCCCTTGTGTTGACTGTATTCTATGAGACTGAGAGTTCTTTCCTTGGCTGCTTCACCAGTTCCCTGAGCAGGGAGCAGCACTGCAGGCTCCTCCCTGTCTCTCTAGTCGCTCAGCTTCATAGAAAATGAGCTATTACCACAGGGAAGTAAGTGAGGAGCAGAGCAGCAGTTTGTCTTGTTTTACCTAGGGAATATTTATGGAGCTCTGAGATGTAAGTTTAATTTTTCCTAGACTTTTAGTCTTGGCTCTGAGACAGGACTACCTCGTGTCACTTTCTCAGCCAACCACTTTGAAATTTGGAATTCTGTACATTCTGAAGAATGCTGTTGCGTCTTTAGAACTGACTGGTCCAGAGTTGCTGTAACTCGGGTGTAATGTGCGTTGTCGTTTACATCTTTGGTGTCTCCGCTGCTTACATGTATTCCACACCTCCTGTGGTGGTGCTGTGTCTCTCCCTGTAGATGGCTGGGGTGGCAAATCTAAAACGATAGCATCTAGTTGGAATAAGTTGGGATGATATTTTTGATACTGAGACTCTTGTTTTATTAAGTGAGAAAGACGTTTTGGTTTTTCTTTTTCAGTATATTTGTTTATGCATTTAAACACCCCCCCCCTTTTTTTTTTTTCCCTGTAGATGTTCATTCTGGACAAAGTTGATGGTGACACTTGTTCCCTTAATGAGTTCACCATAACTGGATCAACATACGCACCGATTGGAGAAGTGTACGTAGTCCCTCCTGACAGTTGAAAGGTTCCATGGCGGCGGTTTGGTCTTTATATAGATTCAGTGTCTCTAAAAAGTGATGACAGTTTTCTGGTTCATGTGGTTTATGTGATCAGATATTAAAGAAAACCAGTTCTAAGCTAGTTACTTTTTTTCATCTTTAGCTTCCACTTGAAAGCAAAAACAATTTTTGCATTTATAATTTTCCTCTCTCTTTAAATTTCAAAAAATGGTCCTTGTCATAATTGAGGTTTTTTCTGAAAGGGAGTTGAAGGGCAGAAGTTGTTACAGACTAATCAAGTTAATTGTGTGTCCTAAGTCTTTTCCTCCTATGATCATTTAGATAGTTTTTACTGAATTTTGTAGTTATTAATTCACAAGAGCCATCACTCTAGTTCTTTTGAATACTTGGCCAGTCTATTTTCCGTGAAATGCTATTTATACTATTAAATAATTATATAAAAATCAACAGAGATGAATGACACTGTTCTTAAGACTCTTTTCTTTTGACAGGCATAAAGATGATAAACCAGTGAAATGCCATCAGTATGATGGTCTTGTAGAATTGGCAACAATTTGTGCTCTTTGTAATGACTCTGCTTTGGATTACAATGAGGTAAGGTACTTCATGAATGAAACTATACCTGACTCTCCTGGTGCAAGGATGGTGGGGTGGGCGGAATGAAAATGAAGCCTTCCTGCCTCCCTTCTGAAAGGTGAGGGTTCCTGATTTTATTTCCTCTTTCCACTCAAGAGCCTATCTGTATCAGGGCCAGCCAGCGTGACCTACCCACAGAAAGCGGAGAGCCTTTTATGTATCCTCTGTGACTAAGCACTGCAGTTACTTAACTGAGAATTGTGTCCATAGTTGGGTAACTTTAAATGAACAAAAACCCAACATAGAAAATACTTCTTGCTGAAATTACAGGATATAGATTTTGCTTTTTAAAAGTTGGGTAGCATGCCTTTGAAGACAGATAAGGCAAGACTTAAGGGACTGTGCTGATGATTTTAAAAAGATAAAATATAAGCATATTTTTTGCTCCTTTTTTAATTATAAATAATGAGACAGACCCTTTGGTTTCTATCTCAAAGGCAAATCGGTCCCCATCAGAAACAGTGTGATCAATTTAGACTACGTAATGGCATGAAATGATAAGTTCTACTTGAAAACTCTGTTTGAATTTAATAATTAAGGGAAATTTTACAAACCTAATTCTTAGAATAAAATAAAATACACCCCTGGGAATTGAGTGTATTTTTAATTATCTGGATCTTGTGCTCCAGAACAGGATAAAAATGACCCATAGAATAATGGACACAGTAGAGGACAGATTGTCCTTGTGGGAAAAAGTCTGTATTAAAGAGAAATTCACCTGTTTGCTACTTTTCCCTTTTCATACTTTCTGTGTCTCTAACCAATACAGGCTAAAGGTGTGTATGAAAAAGTCGGAGAAGCTACAGAGACTGCTCTCACTTGCCTGGTAGAGAAGATGAATGTATTTGATACCGAATTGAAGGGTCTTTCTAAAATAGAACGAGCAAATGCCTGCAACTCGGTCAGTATTTGAGTTTCATATTACTATGCGTACTGCCAGCGTTCGTGTATGTCCTTAGTCCGTGCATTCTCTGTCTTAGTGCTTCTATCCTGATTTTGTCAAACTAAATATAGCTCCTTCCCTGTGTTCACTCACAGACCAGGGGAAAGAGGGAAAATGAAACTGTTCTCAACCCATTTGATGAGGCCTACGTAACGCCGGTACTAAAACCTTACATGGGCGTGCTAACCAAAACAGAAGTTACAAACTCACATTTCTCATAATACAATGTGAAGAGTTAGCACATTAACAAATGCAATCTAGTCTCATTAAACTGTAACATGTTATTTTGAAGCAGAATTGCCATAACTTCAAGGCTGACTTAATAGTCAAAGGTCAGTCATCGTGGGAGGGCCCAGGCATGCCGCCAGGGGCAAGGACGTGGACAGATCCGCGCCCCTCAGCCCTTATCTAGCCTCTCAGCCCTGGAGTGTGGGATCCTAGGCTGAGCAAGGTGGCGGGCAGCTGACCTACTTGTTGAGGAGAGCCAAGTGACCAGCCTGCCCAGGTGACTGGTGCCCTCGGTAGCTGTTGAGGTTGTTTTACTCGGCTCTGGCTTCATGGTTGGTTTGAGCCACAGAATCTGATGGGACTATTGTAAAACAAACCTAGCACGGTGGGCTCTTGGGGGTTGGGGGGCATTAGCTCCTCATATTGTGGTCACTGAGGTCAGGTCTGGCTTGTCCTGACCAGCTTACTGTGGAGGCTTCCGCCCTCACTGTTCAACTTAGTTGTGGTAATGCCAGCTGAATGGACCTAAGGATTTTGTCCTCGCCTCGGTGATGAGCAGCTGCTTGGGTGAGAAGCAGTGCATCAAAAGATGTTACCATACCTGAAGGTCAGGAATGCTGGGAGCTGACTGGTAGATCGAGGGGTAGAGAAGAAGCATGAGGCCAGGAAGGCATATTGGTGAAGAGGTGCCATGTGCCCACTGCGGCCAAGCACTGGCAGAAGAGGTCTAAGGACACTAGGCCCCACAAGTCTGCCTCTGGTCCCTCCCCTGACAGTCCCGCCCCAGCACCTCTGCCCTGGGGTGACACCACCTTCATGCAGCCCAGGGAACACACGGCCACATGTCTTCCTGCGAGTCTCTGGATTCCTGGGATCTGCCCCCACCAGCCTAGTGTCAGCTGCCACTCTGTTCTCTTCTCAGGACTGTCGTTTGGTACCTGAGGTACCTCTTTGTGGCACTTTGTTCTCGTCAGGGTTCCCTGGTGGAAGAAAGAAAAATGGGAGGTAAAAAACATAGCCTTTTCAGTAGTCATGCAGGCCACCAAGTGCTCGCTTGCCACTGCGTGCCTCCTTTTGTATATCACACACCCTCCCTGTGATTCCTCCCTAGGACAGCCAGGGCACCTTGGGAGTGGGATTTGTTTCTGGGGAGCAGGGCAGCCCAAGCCAGGCTTGCATGTGCAGCCTACGGTGGGGACAAGAGGGCACCTATTTCCTTAAGGAGATCAGCTGCTTAGGACTTGTGACCGCACAACATATCTCAGCTGTGAGAGGAACTGCACGAACAGAACATTCAGGCCAGCCTGACATTTGCAGGTAGCAACACTGAGGTCCCCTTGACTTGTCGTCTCCCAGTGTGAGGCATAACTGGACTCCCACTTGGACGGACACCCTTTGCCTTCATCCTGTCATTGTGCCTCTAGTACTCTCTTGAGAAGACAGAACTCAGACCAGAGCCGAGACTGTCTCAGCGGGATCGTCCGTTCACATTAGACTGCTTCCTAGCGTGAGGGTCTTGGGCAGCTTTGAGGCGTCCTGCTTTGACTTCTGTGGCTTGCACAAACGGGAGCAGTCCCAGACCACGGGTCCAGGTTTAGAGCAGTTCACTCTGCTTGCCAGTAAGCAGAGGGTCGGGTCCTTGGAAAGCTGTGTCACTGATGACAGTGGTTATCAGTTGATGAAACTAAATACCTTACCATCCTGAAGACAACGTCACTCAGACTGATGTTTAAAATTGCTCACCTGTAACTAGTCCGTGGAGGGAAACAAACAGTGTCATGGAGCTTAACAGTGGTGTGTATGGGCCTCCCTGGTGGCCTAGGGGTTAAGTCCCAGCACTATCACTGCGGTAGCTAGTTCAATTCCTGGCCAGGGAGCTCCTGTCTCACCTGCTGCTCCCCTCAGCAGTGTATTTCAGTGGATCCGCCTGTTCTGCTCCCCACTCTGTCTCTGGTGGGTCCTCTCACCCCCCCCATCCCCGTACTTCTGGCCTATACCCCAGTTATATGCAAAAATAAAATCTTTTTTTTTTAAAGTGTGTTAACTAATAACCACCACAAATAGGGCAGGACTGTGTTCTCTTACCTACAGATGAGGCATTTTCTTTGCCCCTATAATTTTTTACAGATGAGAGAGGGTCAAGAAAGATAGTCCTGGTGTACACTCACAGGAAACTCCCACATGTGACTCATGCCAGCCTGCCATCCCTGAGGGAGCAAGAGCCCTTCATAGTCCAGAGGCAGAGGGACGGGCTCAGCATTTTAAAGCTGCGCGGCCCATCCCATTCAGATAGGACTCTGCTCTTCCTGATACTGGAAGATTCCTAGGATCACTGGGACAAATGAGATTAAACACATGAGAAATAGGAGGGACTCAGGATTCACGGGGCGCATTCCTGCCCAAGGCGGCACCAGCCAAGGCCATGTCTGGTCTGCCCAGCCTGGCAGCTCCAGACTCAGTCCGGGCATAAGTGCTTATGGTGATGCTGAGCTTCCTTAAGATTTGTAGTTATCATCAAATATATGTCCAGAGTTTGGGGGCTAAAGCGTGTCAGCTCAGCACATAATTGAATAAAGACAGAAAAGTGTAAGATGCAAAGGAAGTGTCTGGAAAAATTTAATCTGTTTATGAGAACCCAGCAAACTTGTGTTCTCACACAACCTGCATCAGCATCATCCTCGATGGTGACAGTTTCCACTCTTAACAGTTTGTGCTGTCGTATTGGCAGTTTTAGTCTATAAGATAGGGCAAGAAAAAGAAAGCAAGGGATAAAGTGTCTTTACTTTGTAGCTAACGTCATTGTACATAAGATTCCAACAGAATAAAGGTTAGTTTTCAGTTGTCCTTGTTCCTGAGCTGTCCCTTGATTCTGCCGAATCTCTCTCCTTGAACCGCCCCTTCTCTGCTCCTTCCCTGCTCCCTCGGTCATTCTCTCTGCAGTCGGTCCTGTCACCAGGTCTCGTGACTTCACTGTCAAAGTGCTGATGTCTGAGTAGCCACTAGCTGCCGGAAGCTGTTTTCAGAATACTTAAAAGAACCTCTCTGGGTACACTAGTCCCTTTGCCAGGACTCCGGAATGCCAGCAGCGTGACAGCGCTGCTCAAACATTGCTGTCACGCCAGAATCTTTCAACTAATTCTTAACCCCCAGAGCTTAAAGTTCTCCATTGTCTTCCCATGTCATCTGCTAGGCAAGGCAGGTGCCTTACAGTGACTCTCAGGAGTGCAGCCTGCCTCTGCACCCTGCCTTCATCCTGTCGCCGACTCTGTCCCGTCTGCCCACGGGTACACGTGCTTGCGTTTGTTCAGTGTTGCCTTCTGACCACTTCAGGGAAAACTGCAGTTTATACGTACACCATTTTCCTACTCCTCTCCCCAGCCTGAAGTTTCTTTTCTCCATAGCACAGGATGCCTTTGGCAAATTTTATGAGGGCAGGAACTCTTCCGTTGGTGGTTTTGTTTTTTTTTTTCCCCTAGCGTCTGCCGCATGGTAATACTTAGTGAGTTTTTTGTTGTTGTTGAACAAGTGAAAAATATACAGAAACCATCATCCAGTAGTATGGTGTTGTTCTCTTCATAGGTGATTAAACAATTGATGAAAAAAGAATTTACTCTGGAGTTCTCACGTGATAGAAAATCAATGTCGGTTTACTGTACACCAAACAAGCCCAGCCGCACATCCATGAGCAAGATGTTCGTGAAGGTGAGTGCAGCGAGCTGCAGTCAAGAGATTTTTACCAGGACTAGGATTCTGGACGAGCCCGTTAATAATGGATCTAAATCTTAACATTTCCAGGGCGCTCCTGAAGGTGTTATTGACAGGTGTACCCACATTCGAGTTGGAAGTACTAAAGTCCCCATGACCCCTGGAATCAAACAGAAGATCATGTCTGTCATTCGGGAATGGGGTAGTGGCAGCGACACGCTGCGGTGCCTGGCCCTGGCCACTCACGACAGCCCGCTGAAAAGAGAAGAAATGAACCTTGAGGACTCTGCCAACTTCATTAAATACGAGGTTAGCTAACGAGAAATGTGTTCCCTCGCACCCTTGCGCCGCCCCCATTGTGTTGACACCGTCCTCCTTCAGTGAAAGGTCAGGCGAACCTTGCTTTTGCCAAGGAGGAGGTGTGGTCACCTAACTTTTCTGCACCGTTACAATTTTCTGTGCTGCTTTGAACAGTTCACAATTTAATGGAAGTCTGTTATTTTCAAAGTTAGACTAATAAAGATCTAAGCGACACTTCGCAGCTCTCACAGAAACTAAGATATTTTTTAAATGGTAAAATTTTAAAAAGACATTTGTTGTTGAAGTTCAGATTACTAAGGTAGACTTCCCACTCTGATGCTCATAAAATTCTTTAACCTCTCCCATGCCTTCCTGTGAGGCATTGCCTACAAGGAGCCAAGTGCCTGTCGGCGCCATGGGCCGCCAGAGTAAGCAGCATCAGCGTGCTCCAGTTTCTCAGTTATTTCCCTCATTTTCAGTGCGCACTGTCAGAGTGAAAGGAGGACTTGGAGGATAAGAAGAATGGAGCGATGTTTTTAGTTTCCAGTTAATTGGCACTGGACACTATTCCGTTGGATTTATATCAGTGTGAATATGAACCTCAGAGTCAGAGTTACAGACTTTATCATAATAAGATGTGGGAACTTTTGCTTTTAATGTACAACTGACCTTTGAGCGCACTAGGGGAGAAACCAGACTTTCTTGTTGTAACATAAGGCGATTGTTCCGCTGTAGACCAACCTGACCTTCGTGGGCTGTGTGGGCATGCTGGACCCTCCAAGGATTGAAGTGGCCTCCTCTGTGAAGCTGTGCCGTCAAGCAGGCATCCGGGTCATCATGATTACGGGGGACAACAAGGGCACTGCGGTGGCCATCTGTCGCCGCATTGGCATCTTCGGGCAGGATGAGGATGTGACGTCAAAGGCTTTTACAGGTCGGGAGTTCGACGACCTCAATCCTTCTGCGCAAAGAGATGCCTGCTTGAATGCCCGCTGCTTCGCTCGGGTTGAACCCTCCCACAAGTCTAAAATTGTAGAATTTCTTCAGTCTTTTGATGAGATTACAGCTATGGTGAGTTACCTTTGGGCGTATACATGTGACTCAAACATAGATTCTCATTTTGACCAATTTTTTAGGAGCTCCCAGATTTGCAGTGTCTTGAACTTGTTCATCATCTGGCTGTTTCCCTAGAACTCCATTGGCAGGTGTGCACGTGGCATATTGCGTGGCCAGGGACGGTTCCATAGCGCCTTCTCAGTCTGTCACGGGGGAAATGTTTGGTGCTCTCTGGTCTTTGTCTTGGGTTAATATTTATGTGCTTATGTATCAAGTTTGCTAAGATGTGATTTAAGGTATGGCTGATAACAGGTACTCTCACCAAATCTTTGGATAATTCTTTTCAAGATTTATTTATATCTATGCATATAAGAACCTGGGGTGTAGGTCAGAAGTGCGGGGGTGAGAGGATTCACCAGAGTAGGGAACAGAACAGGCAGATCTACTGAAATCCACTGCTGAGGGGAGCAGCGGGGAGACAGGAGAGGTCTGCTGCGCCATGTGGGTCAGCTCCCTGGCCGGGGATCGAACTTAGGCCATCGTAGTGATAGCGCTGAGACTTAACTCCTAGGCCACCAGGGAGGCCCCCAGTCTTTGGATAATTCTACCTGAAATTAAATGTACTAATTAGGCATTGTGGTTCAGAGCTACCTGTTGAAACATTTTCAGTATTCTTCCCCTTGTGTTTTTTCATTTAGACACTTTAACATTGTATTTGCCTTCTTTGTGTATACAAGTTAAGAGGAGACACATAGGTTTCATTTGAAAGCAGGTATTTTAGGTCTATTTCTCCATCCTTTCCTCTCTCTGAGGGACCCAGCGTTGGTGGTTCATGAAAAGTGTAGAAACATACAGGGAAGTGACAGTTTTGTGTTTGTGGACGTGTTTTTGCACATGATAAATGGCATGTCACAGGTCACATAGTAGTGTGGTCTGCTCCTTTTCTACCTGACATTTGTTCCTATGGATACAAGTACTTCGTCTTGCCCTCCATATGTGTTGTTTTTTGGGGGTGGGGGCAGGGGAATGTGGGTTAAAAGTAACGCAGGTGACTCTGAAGTCTCCTTCATTCTCCTTCCTGCTGTATCTTCTTGGGAAGCTCATTTGGCAGTTGTCTATTTCCCAGGTAAAATCTCCCTGGTGCTACTACTCACTGATAAAAACAGAACCCTCCCGCTGTTTGCCCTGGGACCCGTGATTCCCGTTCAGCCACTGTCGGTGGTCTCTGTTGGGTGCAGGAGTGTGTAGACCAACCATCGGATTCCCTTTCAGACAGGGGACGGTGTGAATGATGCTCCCGCCCTGAAGAAGGCCGAGATTGGCATTGCCATGGGCTCTGGCACTGCGGTGGCTAAAACTGCCTCTGAGATGGTCCTGGCGGACGACAACTTCTCCACCATCGTGGCCGCTGTGGAGGAGGGGCGGGCCATCTACAACAACATGAAGCAGTTCATCCGCTACCTCATCTCCTCCAACGTGGGGGAAGTTGTCTGGTGGGTGTCCGGGTTTGCCCTTCCTGCCACAGTAGCCGCCTTCTTGGTGCACACATCGGGAGGGAGGGCCGAGGAGGTTCCACCCCAGGGGCCTGTCTGCCACCGCCTCCGGGGCAGGAGCTGCTCTTCAACATGGAACCCAGTTTAGATGGATGATAAAAATGAGCTGTTTTCACCCTCAAAATGAACTTGAAATTCGGAGGAGGGGGGAATGTTACTTACATGGTAGCCAAAAATATAACTTGGGGTCTTTCTCTTCTTTCTTTGGGTGGAAATAGCATTTTCCTGACAGCAGCCCTTGGATTTCCTGAGGCTTTAATTCCTGTGCAGCTGCTCTGGGTCAACCTGGTGACAGACGGCTTGCCTGCCACCGCGCTGGGCTTCAACCCGCCCGATCTCGACATCATGAATAAGCCGCCCCGGAACCCAAAGGAGCCGCTGATTAGCAGGTGGCTCTTCTTCCGTTACCTGGCCATCGGCTGTGAGTACAGTGCTGTGGTTACTTTGTAAACAACATGTATGTCAACCACAATTGGCCCGTGCATCCCTTAGAAGCATATATTTCTTCTGTCCATGTTTATTCGGGTAACAAAAAATCGAGCCCCCCGCCCCCCTCTTGTGCTTCAGTGAACGGGCCTCCCCGCTTACAGTGACGTCAGTCTGTGGTGGGCGCTCCCTTGTCCTTAGCTGGGCTTTTGTGATGGTCAGTCTTCACCCGCTGACAGGGACATGGGGCTGACGGGCACGGTGCTGCCATGAGAGCTGGGAGGTGATGCCAGGGTCCGGCGCTAAATCCTCCTCCCCACAAGAGGAGAGGGTCTGTGGGTGCTCCAGCAGTGGCCGGTAAACTGACACCCTGGTCCAGGGGCAGGGTCTTCTGTGTGTGCCGCCACCCCATTTCATGGATGAAGAAAGTGAGGTTCAGAAAGGTTAAGTGACTTTCCTGGGGTCCCAGTAAGGCATGTAGTAGTCACGTGACTTCATGTTCACCAGGCTTCCCGTGGGAAGTGAAAGGCTCGTGGCCCTTCAGTTTCCCTCCAGCATTGTGTGGATATTTTACGTATTTTCAGCGACAGCGTGGCGCACATGCTTATGTGCTGAGCCTTTTTCTGTTTCTCCGTTTGTCGTGTAATTCCACGCAGTAGTGGTTCAGCTGCCTCCTCCCCGTACACCCGCTACTTTCGGGTCCGTTGTAATAATCGCTGCGCCAGAGGATTGTGCCCTTACACCTGTTGGGGGACGGCGTCACATCAGGACGTCTCCTCCAGGGTGTGTCTTGGCGATCCCCTCTTGCTTCTCAGCGACAAACTGCCGGAGCGCAAAAGTCACTGGCCCCTGAACGCCTGCAGCTGTCACATCCCAGCTGCTGGGCAGAGGTCACGGCTGGGGTGAAAGTACTGATTCTGGTCAGCACTTCTCTCAGATTGTGGAGAAGGTGCTTGGTTTTGGTGTCCTCCGGACCACCCTGCTCCTGGCAGAAACCCTCAGCCTGGCTGTGTTGACTGATGCGAGTACGCGGTCGGTAGCGGCAGCACAGGCTCCAGTGACCGTTGACGAGCGTATCTTTCATCATCGTCCTGAGAACTGGCCCCTGAGGTTAGTGTCGGCCCCACGTGTCAGCGCGATGATGTCTGTTCCCAGGTTACGTTGGCGCTGCTACCGTGGGTGCTGCTGCGTGGTGGTTCATTGCTGCCGACGGTGGTCCCCGAGTGTCCTTCTACCAGCTGGTACGTCACCGCCTTTCCGGCGCGCCTTTAGATGCAGTGTTGAGCGTCCTCACGAGCAAGGTTGTCCTTAGAACTTCCTGGGGTTGGGGTGTTTTAAGGCTCAAGCAATAGCCCTTGCACTTTAGATTCTCCCTGAAGGACCAGGGCTTCTCTGGGAAATGGGGTGGTCTCGCGTGGGTCTGTGTTCTGGGTTTGGTGGGAAGCTGGTGTGGACCCGGGCTGACCAGGAACTTAATTGGGCTTTTGTTCCAGAGTCATTTCCTGCAGTGTAAGGAGGACAATCCAGACTTTGAAGGAGTGGATTGTGCAATCTTTGAATCCCCGTATCCGATGACAATGGCGCTCTCTGTTCTAGTAACCATAGAGATGTGCAACGCCCTCAACAGGTCAGTGAGTCTTCTCTGCAAGCTGGAGCAAGAGCTCTGACAACCAGGAGCCGGGGGGTTGTGGGTCACGGTTGAGGCTCACAGGAAAGTTCTTCAACGCCAGTTTGAAGTCACCCTCTCCTCCAGGCAGTACAGGGGACTCAGCTGCGTGCTCTGCCACAACAGAGGCCCAAAATAGGGCCTTCACTGCCCCGTGGATACCAGCACCCACAGGGGCAGGGCCTTGCCCTGTAGCGTTGAGAGAATGGTATCCAATTAAACCAGTGACAAAAATGGAAATGTCTAAATAGCTGAATTGTCAAGGGCACTCGAGTGCGGCTTTGCGCCCGCTGCAATGGAATCTGCTGCGCCAAGACCTAGATTTTAAAATTGGAAGTTTGTCCTACATCTGACGTTCTTCCTTAACTTTGCCCCAGAAGAAACTTCAGTCGGTAGAATTAGGTCACAGGACAAAGCCCAGTCAGGGGTCTTCCGAGCGGTCTCTCCCTTGTGCCAGGGCGCCTCTGCGTTTGGGCGGGCCCATTTCAAGCCCCCCTCCTTGCTCCGCAGCTTGTCTGAAAACCAGTCCCTGCTAAGGATGCCTCCTTGGGAGAACATCTGGCTGGTGGGCTCCATCTGCCTGTCCATGTCTCTCCACTTCCTCATCCTCTATGTGGAACCCCTGCCGGTAAGGGGCGCGAGGACCTGGGGGTGGGCGGGTCTTGGCCACCCCCTCTCCGGCAAGTCTGGAAACTTGATGAGGCCGCTCGCGTGTCAGCTTATCTTCCAGATCACACCGCTGAATTTGACCCAGTGGCTGATGGTGCTCAAAATTTCCTTGCCTGTGATCCTAATGGACGAGACACTCAAGTTTGTGGCCCGCAAGTACCTGGAGCCTGGTAAAGAGTGTGTGCAGCCTGCCACCAAATCCTGCTCGTTCTCGGCATGCACCGATGGGATTTCCTGGCCGTTCGTGCTGCTCATAATGCCCCTGGTGGTCTGGGTGTATAGCACAGACACTAACTTTAGTGATATGTTCTGGTCTTGACTGACAGTTTTACATAAAGAAGATGTTTAACTTAATCAATTAATTTTTTTATTGTTTAAAGCAACTGTCTATTTCTGCTGAATTTTCACATGAACATATTGGCTGGTGAAGGAGGTTTCATACTCTAGATTTTGTTTTGCTTTTTCTGACTCCAGTGGGGCGAGATTTTTCCTTTTTTATACACATAATTAAAGTGTCCATTGACATGTACAGAGAACTAACACTATTTTATGCAAATATTTTTTTGTAGATGAAAAAGCATGTACAGTGTTCTGTTTAATACTCATCCTTGTATAAAAAAAAATAGTTGAGCCAGCAGACATTGTCAGCAAATTAATTGGCAGCAGATTTTAGGAAATGAATGTGTGTGTTTTTTTCTAAAACTAAATAGCATGTATTGTCTCTTGCATGATCATCTGGGTTTAATCTGAGATCACAGTCTAATTTTTATTCATAAGCCAATTTTTCTGCACTGAGCAGAGTCCTGCTACCTCAGTCAGTATTTTTTGGTTTGCCGCTCCCTCACCCTTCTCAGCCCGATTCACCTCCACCCACACCCCGAAACCCCCGCTCGGCTGCTTCTCCTGTAGGGTTCCGATGGTTCTGTTTACACCCGTCTCCACCCGAGGTATGCCTGTTCTCGCTTGTGCAGAAAACATTGTTCCAGATTCAATCAAATGGGTTCATGGCCCCTCAAGTAGTTTTTAAGGTTATTTATTTAAATGTCTAATGTATTTTATTGTACCAGACATTGTTTTGCCAACATTGCCTATTTCAGTGGCACTTAACGATCTAGTTTTCAAAAGAAAAATAAAACATTTTAAATGGACAGAGAAAAATAACGGTCTTTTTTTAACTCCTAAATGGCTTAGCTTCAACTCTCAACAGATGTGTCCACTTTCTCCTCAAGTTCTTAGAACTTTAGTTTTGCTGTGCTCCTGGGGAAGAAGGATCCTGTTCTGCTGCATAGGTAGTTGTAGGAGTGTTGTTTTAATGTCTAGGCACCACTTGTCATCCATGATACGTTTTATGCAGACCTGTTTTGGCCTGGTGTAGAGGACATAAGGGCAAGTGTGTGTGCGTGTATGTGTTTTGTAAAATCTGTAAATAGCACATGACCAAATGAACATATTGTATAGAACTATTTTTATTTGACTGTGGTACTAACCGCCACCATCATTACTACGGTAAATGTTTGCGCATGTTTGAGATCAGTCTTACCAACAGTGTATGTCATTAACAGTCCTAACCGTGGTGTTTTTCTCCAATGCCTTCCAACATCCATCACCTAACGTGAGTATTCTCTTCCCTGGAATTGGGGCGATGCTTTACCCTAAAGGGGACCGCCACCCGCTGAGCTGCCTGTAAGATACTAAGTGGCAGGCGTAGGCGGCACAGCACCACGCACAAGGGGCAGGTGAACTGACCTGGGATGTGGTTGCCTCTTGGCACACAGGCAGATGGCAGAAGAGAAGCTGGTTCTATTTTGGTCAGACTGACAGGTTAAAGGAGCGAGATGAGGGAGGGAGGGTTCACAAAAACCGGTGTTATTTTGAGCTTTGTTGGCTGCAAGGACTCATTCCAGAACCTTTTGCTGCCTGTTCAGTAAAAAAGCAATTAACTAATGACCGGCCGCAAGTACAGTCGAACCAGTGAGCCCACATCCGTAGGTTTTCTTGAATAGTCTTTTCTCACCTTCTGGGGCATCACATCCTCTGCAGCTGAAACCTGTCTTCCCTCCAGGGTGTGGTAGCAGGGTTACTAGGGCACGACTCCTTTTCGCCGGCAGTCAGGCAGTGCTGTGTCTTCGTGGGCTGGCAGCCCCCCAGGGTCCCTTTAACTGGTTACTGGGCCAGTCAGAAGATGTGATAGAAATGCTTGGGGTTTGGGGACAAATGAATGGGCATCAAGCAGGACAGAGGGATGCTGCCACGTGCAGGGCTCCAAGGTGTGGGAGATGGAAGTGGAATGTGGAGACTGACTCTGCCCAGCCCTGGCCTGGTTTATTGCGACCTCAGAGAGGATGGCAGTTTGGCTTGGCAGAGTGCAGGGGGGGCTAGATTTTAACACTGGAGCATCATGAGGCACAAAAAGGAGCAAATTGAGCGGATTCTAGGCAAGGAAAGTATCTTGACTGCAGACAAACACAGAATGTTGAGTTTTTTGGGTGGAGCATTGGTGGATGGAAACCAAATTTAGTTCCTGAGTCAATTCCTTGATTCAGTGGCCTTTACAAAATAAGTTGAATGGCATGGGCTGCTGAGAGATGGGCACCCTCCTGGGTGGCCCTGGACCAGCTGTCACCCCGTAGGCTCTCAGCTTCAGGCCTGTCCAGCTAACAGGGGTGGGAGGGTGGTTAGGATGTGCCCACCCTCCCACCCCACCCCCAACCAAGATCACACAGCTAAGTGTGGGGAAGACCCACCTACCTTCCGCCAGAGTCCCTTCGTCCATTCCACCGCAGGTATTGCCAGCCGAAGACACGTACGTCAGTGTTGCTCCTCAGCTTTTGTGCTGCGCTGGGCACATCCCTGCAGGAAGGGGTTGCCAACCTGTTTTGTGTCAATTCACTGGACAGGGCAGCACCGCCTCGGACCCAGCCTGTAAGCGCTGCTCGCAGCACTCACTCAAAACTTACTATAGTTTCTTTGCTGAGAGACAGGTGGGCCTTTGGCCCACCCCACCAGAGGCTTCGGCTTTGGGCTGCTCCAGGCCTTGCCCTTGGCTGTGCAGATGGGCTCTAGCAGCTCAACGTCCGCACAATGCTGCACTTGTTCTGTAGCTCCCCAACAGCAGCTGCCAGCCTCCCTGGCAAGCAGCTGCTGTCACATCATCCTCACACTGTGGCCCGAGCCCCCTGAACATCCTGCGGAGGGCGGACCACAAGCCTTAGCCTGGGATCTGACGAGCACCCACCCACCGTCCAGAGCCCGCCGCATCTGCGGTGTCGTGAGCACATCAGCCGTCGCCGCCTTCACTACCACGTTCTGCAAAACCAACACCTTGTAGTAATAATGAGGGTAAATCTCTAGCCTTCTCTGAACTAGATGGTCAAGCAGTGCCACCGCTGTTCCCCTTGTAGGCGTGGGCAGGGCTGGACCCCAGGAAAGGGCGGGGTGGGACGTAGTACAGAGAGAGAACGGGAAGGTTCTGTGCTAACTGCCACACTGCTCACTTGTGTGTCGTCCTTACTCCGCACTGCTAATTGAGAACTTTGCTTTTCTTGCCCATCCTACGTCTGCTGCGCCTGTCTGCCTGGTGGGCCTGTCCCGTGAGTCGGGAGAGCTGGGTCTGTAGCCAGCACGTCTAGACGCTACCCAGCACAGGCAGCGCCTCAGGGCCAGTTAATCAGATGTGCCGGTCTTGAAATCTCGAAAGATCAAAGTGCATATTCCTTTTCATCTGTCACTGTTAATCTTATTAGTCTTAGTTACTCTAACATTTCCTCCCCATGTTTCATAAAGCTGATTTCCTCTCTCTTTCCTTTTCAGCGATACTGGAGTAACCGCTTCCTAAACCATTTTGCAGAAATATAAGGGTGTTCGGTTGCGTGCATGTGCGTTTTTAGCAACACATCTACCAGCCCTCTGCATGATAGAGGTTGGGGAAAAAGAAAAGTAGAAAAAAAGTCCCCAACTCATTGTGTGTTATGTGGAGGAAACGTGTATTGCCAGTGGGGTTTTTAGCTTTTAAATCAGAATTACAAATGTACAATTTAGTTGAATCAGAGCCTCTCCAGAGAATTTTGGTTTCTTTGCTGCAAGAAGAATAAGGTTCTGAAACCTTATTCAAGAACTTAGAAGCCATCATCAGCCAAGGCTCCATATTTCTCTGTGCAAAATGTCATAGCTTATATAAATGTTCAATATTCAGTTGTAATGCATGCCTTCAATTGTAAGTAGCCAGATTTCTCTACACTGTCAATGAAAAATGCTACTTTTTAATTGGCCCTGTACAGTTTGCTTATTTATAAATTTGATGAAAACACTACAGGTGTTCAATGGTTAAAATGTAGGCCTCCAGTTCTTAACTTCAGTTATTTTTTGAGTGTGCAAACAGCTATTTTGCACTGTATTAAATGTAACTTATTTAATGAAATCAGAAGCAGTAGACAGATGTTGGTGCAATACGACTTGTGATGCATTTATCTTAATAAAATGCTAAACGTCAATATCACAACGCATGTTTGACTTTAGATTGTACATAGAGATCAACTGTTATTTCTGTGCTGGTAAGAAGCGCGGCACAGACATGGTTTCAGGTAAATAAATCTATTCTACGATAAGCTGCAATGTGGTGTTGATTGTCTGGGGGGGACGGAGTTTGAGGTGCACTCAGTCTCCATTCCTGTGCCCTCAGCAGTGGAGGAAAGGCGTGGGAAGGGAAAACAATGGGCTTTTTTAAGACAATATGATCCAAAAGTTGTCGGCATGCTGGGAGGGAGGATGTAGCAACAAAGCGTGTTCTAATGTTCAGAAGCAAGATGTAAAATCCTGCACTTACCAATAGATGAAGAGGGGCCTCCTGGTGGCACAGGGGTTAAAGAACACTATCAAGCAATCGGAGATTGCGACCCACATGGTGCAGCAGACCTCTTCTGGCTCGCCTGCTGCTCCCCTCAGCAGTGTACTTCAGTCAATCTGCCTGTTATGTTTCCCGCTCTGTCTCTGGTGAATCCTCTCACCTGCCCACGCCTCTGGCCTGTACCCCAGTTCTTGTATAAAAAATAAATAGGTGAAGAAAAGAACTGAAATATAATGGAAACAGGTACTAGATTTCATCCATTTAGTGGTTTTTTAGTGCTTTTCTCCCAGGAAGGGTGAAAAGGTTTGGGTGAGGCTTTTTTCCTTTTCTAAGTTCCTAAGATGGTTCTTTAATCGCTTAAATCATGGATGCAAGGATAGCTGGATGGTTATAAATTGATTTCTACAAACTATTAGATATGGCGCAAATATTTGATAATGAAAAACAAGTGCTGAAACACTAGAATTGTATTCACCACTTGTGCTGCAGCCGGTGGTCACGTGGATCCGCAGAAACATCTGCTCTTAGGAAGCTTATGCAGGGGAAAGTGACCGCTCCAGTGAATGATCCATTACACCTACAGTAGGGAAAAGTTGGATGACTCATTTTATGGGGTGGTCATCTTGAAAAACTGGATGCTTGATCAGTTGCAAATGGATCAAAAGACTTGGAAAATGAAACGACACTCTCAGAAATGCAAACAAGAAAACTTGAGTAGCTTATAAATGCTAAAAGACGTTTCATTTCACCTGCACATTAAAACCACAGTAATACACCACATTGCGCGCCCCCCCCCCCCCAGCTGACTAAATACTCTCTTGACCAAGGATGTGCAAATGGGCCCACAGCGCAGAAGTTAGGTGTTACCTGGGAACTCTCAGATGCTCTGAACACACAACCTAGCAGGCCTGCTCGGCCCACCTTAGCCTACATGCCAGAGCCAGGGTTTTTATAAAGGAAAACTGCTGGGGCAACTCACTTCCCTGTCTGCCTTCCCTTCCCTGCCTTATAAAGGTGTCTCTTCCTTTCCCGTTTTCCAAAACCAAAGGCCAACAAGAGGAAAGTGGCTATGGATACATTTGCTGCTCATTTAAATCAGCAGCAGCAGTGAGGAGCTGAAACTAGGTTTCCACAGATACATCTCCCTGCGCAGTGAAATGAAGTGCAACATACTTAACATGAGTATCCAGTTCAAAATACGCCAAACAATGACCATATAGCCTGCATGTGCGCCAGAATGTAACACAACTGCCTTTATGAGAAAGTTTTCAGAAAAAGTAGCTAAACTGGACCACCTTTAAATGGATTTACATTCAGGTACAAGCTCAGCTCTGCAGCCTCACAGCAAACATCGGTAACACGGTTGCCCACGCCAGCCACGGGGACAGGAAACTGCAATTCTAGTTCTGGGAAGAGGAGGGCAGGCAGAGGCTGGCTTCTATCAGTACTATTTGGGTGGTGTGTGTGTAGGTGTCAGTGCCTTTGTGCAAACCATAAAAGTACCAGGAGAAAGCAGAAGGTAAAAGACCTAAGTATAATGAGATCGTGGAATGATAGCCTGGCTGCCTACAATGTAAGCATCTCAGATTGAACATGCCTCACTAGAGCAATGAAAACATCTGCTGTGTCTGTGATAGAGGAAGACACCTTTACACATGAGCAGCAGAGATCAAAGCTGAATTCTGATCTTGGCTGCTGGTATTTGGAAACAAACACTGGGGGTGAGGATATACTTTGGCCCAGTCTCTTCACTTTGGTGAAATCCCCCTGAAGAACATATCATAGCTTGTAATTCAGTCTTCGAAAAGATTCTGTGTGGACCAGAAAGGAATGACGTCCAATACTGTCGTCTCCCCAGTGAGACCTTCTAGTGCAGAACAGTGTGTACGTTTCACCAGTCACTGTGAGCAAGATGACACAAGCAACCATCATCACTGGAAACAAGAACTGAATGCTGTGATGGGGGATCCACGTGGCCGCAAGTTGGAAAACAGGATGAGCTCAGGAGAGCTCATGGAGGTGCCACATGGAACTGTTTCTAGCTATTTGTAGATACACGGATTTTTCTGCACTATCAAGCCAGGGCTGAGAAGCAAGTGTGCTGGGGTAGTGATGAGAAACTGAACTGCCCATTTTAGGTCTCTAGGAACTTTCTGTAATAGGAATCAAGGCTCCTTTGGCAGAAGAGCTGGTTTTAGGGCTGGAACAGTAACTGTACAACACAGGCCTTGTGGGGCCAGAAAGTAACTGAACAAGCTGAATGGCCATAGTTGGAACAACTTGAGCGACATAATTAATGAAGTAATATTGGATTACAATCCAAAGTGAAATACCAGTGAATCTTGGTGATATAAATAAATTGGCACGACTAGAAGCCTCCCATGCAGGATTACAAGTAATCTCTGGGCACGTTGCCCTCAAGAAGGTAAAGCACAACCCCTCACCCTTAAGTGTCAGCTGCGCACGGTGGATTCCTTCCAAAGTAAACAGTGTGGACGAGAAAAGTAGGAAAAACCCGACAGACTCAACCTGTCAGGTGATGTCATCTTGAGAGCATGACCCCTGATACAAAATGATGAGAATCACTTTTTTCCTGTGGTCTTGCTTCCTAAAACATCACCTCAGACTAGCCAAAGGGAAAACATCTGACAAATTGCAAAAGATGGACATTCAACAAAATACCTGACTGGTACTCCTTAAGGTCGCCGACGTCATCAAAAGCTTTGACAGTCCGAGGTGCTTTCACAGCCAGAGAAGGGCCTGAGGAGACACGGTGTGATACTGTCTTGGGTGGGGATCTGGAACGGAGAGAGGTAAAAATGAAGGAAATCTGACTATGAGTATCAGTTAATAGTGTATAAATATTGGTTCACTGTGACAAACATACCACACTGTTGGGAGGGCATATGGGAACCCTGTACTATCTGCTCATTTTTTCTATGAGTCTAAAAATATTCTAAAATAAAGTTTATTTCAAAATGCTGGTATAATTTTTTTTTTTTTTTTTTTTTTATTCTCATAGAAGCACCAAAGGACTACAAGACAGCACAGAATTTCTAGGCCAAAATCTAAGAGGAAGTGAGAGAATCAACACGCCAGGTCACTATTCCTACGTGGCATCTACTTGTCCTACCCAAACCGTGGAAACGAACAGGCACTTGGAGTTCTCAATGTGAAAAAGGCAAAGTCAACATCCAGGGCCCATCAAATGGGAAACACCACAGACATGAGCTGTCCAGGGCTAAGGCCTGGGTCAAGACAAACCCAAAGGACATCCCCCCTTGCCCCATCTCCCATACTCAAAGGGACGTGGGCAGCACTACTTTGGTGCTGAGCAGAACAGAAGGCCATGTCCATCCACCCTAGTGGGAGTGTGAAAACTGACTGGACCTGCAGCCCACACCACACCCGAGGGGGGTCTATGGAACCTCAACCCATGAACCCAGTTAGTGGCAAGACCCTAAGCACCAGGCAGGAGTAGAAGCTCCCAGAAGAGAGACAGCTTCCTTTCAGGTCTCAGGAGATCCACAAAATCATTTTTCAAAGCAGCACACAGTAGGGGGCCTCCCCGGTGGCGCAGCGGTTGAGCGCTGGGTTACAAAGCTGCCCGCAGTCTCTGCAGCGCCGGTTCAATCCCCAGCTGCTTCCCGGCCACTGGAGGAGGGTCCCACATGGCACACAGACCTCTCCTACCGCCCGCTGCTCCCCTCAGCAGTGTATTTCGTCAGTCTGCCTGTTCTGTTCCCTGCTCTGGCTCTGGTGAATTCTCTCACCCTCCCGCGCTTCTGACTGTACCCAGTGCTTGCATAAATAAATAAATAAATCCTTTGGGAAAAAAAAAAAAAAAAAAAAAGGCAGCACACTGTACAAGACAACCAAGCATCAAGAAAACCTTGCACCATGAGTGAGAGGCAGCAGCAGTGAACACACAGCTCCATCCAGAACCCAGACATCAGTGCTCGCTTCGGCAGCACATATACTAAAATTGGAACGATACAGAGAAGATTAGCATGGCCCCTGCGCAAGGATGACATGCAAATTCGTGAAGCGTTCCATATTTTTCAGTGAAATAAGCCAAAAAGAAAAAGGAAAATACCGGATGGTCTCACTCATAGCAGGAATCTAGAAAACTTAAATAAGGGACCAGGAAAATGAATAACTATAAGAAAGTGAAAATCAAAATCAACAAAAACTATGAACCAGAGACACTTTTGGGGGGGGGGGGGGCGGGAGGGGAGGGATTGGGGTCAGAATGGGGGGATTGCAATTGTATGGGGAATATAAAAATAAAATTTATTAATTAAAAAAAATAAATAATAAAAAAAAAAAACAGAACCCAGACATCAGGCACATTAAATACAGCTCATAAAATATCCGTGCTTATACTATGTTTAAAGCAAATGAAAATTCTGCAAGAGACAGAATTATAAAAAATGGATATGGCAAATATGGATATTAAATCGAATCCTAGAAATGAAAATTACGATCACCAAAATTAACAATTTGATGGATGGGTGCCTCACTGGCGGCAAAGAGGTTAAGTCTCTGTGCTAGCAAGCTATCAGCAGCCGTAGCCACTGCGGCCTGAGTTCAAGCCCGGCAAGGGAGCTACCCACATGGTGCAGCAGACCCCTCTTATCTCCCCACTGCTCCCCTCAGCAGTGTATTTCTGTAGATCCACCTGTTCTGCCCCCCACTCTGTCTCTGGTGAATCCTCTCACACCCCCACCTCTGGCCTGCACCCCAGTTCTTGTATGC